CCGTGATTCACATAGAAATTCGAAAATTCGGAAAGAAAGGGTAGCAGGAAAAACGGGGAAGCCCCGAATCTCCGATAATCGCGACGGTGACGAGCGTTCCCGCGCTCGTCATCGAATTTCCATGCGGCTAATAACTCTTTGTGTCCCGTGAGCGGGCAGACGGGACCCAATGACTTTTTGTTCGCCGGTTCGTCGAGGGGCGGGGGCGGCGCAGAGGGGGTTGGGTGATCCCGACCCGGTTTCGACCGGCCGGTCGGTCTGTCGGTCGGTCGGTCGGTCGGTCGGTCGGTCGGTCGGTGCCGGTTACAAATATTGGTCAGTTTCATCAGCTGGCTGCCGGGCCGGCGGGCTGGGTGGGGATTGATTTTCAAACAAACGTGGACCTCGGGATCAGTACCAAAATGAATGACGCGCAACAGGTTAGCCGCGATACTTGTACACGCTCCGCCGTCGTCTACGGCGGCGGTGGCGGCGGCGGCGGTATCACGTGTTATTTGCATTTATGTATTCGAGCATGCGTTCCCTTTGCGCGGCGAGTTTCCTACGAACGCTTTCTCTTGTTCGCCGGGGCCCTCCACGCCGGATTATCAGGCAGATTAATTGGCCGGCGAGTTTCCCGCGGACACGCTTTTACTTTAACGCGCGTTAACCCTGGATCGGCGGGCCGCAGTCAATGGGGGACTCGTTCGAGAGAGAGGTAAGTAGATACGAGTGTTTCGGTGCGAGGGGCTACCGGCGTGGGGTGGAGTGTTGTTGGAATGATTGATGATTGACGGTTGCGTTTTTGATGGCGCGGGCATCGGTGATTTCCGATTGATTGGCTATTCATTCTTTTCGAGGGGGGAGAAGTATGGGAACGAGCGGATCGAAGGGAAATAGAGTAGAACGAATGTGGAGATTAGTAAAGTGACGCGAAGTTGTGTGAAGTAGAGTATAGGGAAATAGAGTAAATTAGAATAGAGCGAAGAGGACGCGAGAGGAATGATAGAATATTAATCCGTTGGCGTACTGTTTACTTTCGTTATTGAGAATTTGGAAATGCAACAGAATTGTCTATTCTAAGTGGAAATTTTATTTGAAGATAATACAATGATAATAGCAAAATAGTTTGCTTCGATCCGTGGGTAGTGAATAAATCGATTGTTGTTAAATTAGTCTAGAAATCTTCATCAGTCTCACTCGTCATTGTGCGGCAAGGAATTAATCGACGATTATCCCCGGTATTTCCTCGCGAAGGGCTCCGTCAAATCGTCGTCGAACGGAAGCGACGCGTTTCCAGCCGTAGAAACCGGAGGAGCCTCGACTTTCACGGACGCGTTCGGATACGAAGTTTCGCGGTTCGCCCGTGGATTCCGGCGCGGTAGGTAGAAAAACATAAACAGTCGGAACGCCGAAAGATTGATCGATTGATTCGGCTCAGGAGCGTCGACCGGACAGATCATTGGCCCATTTCTCCGTATACTTTCACCCGGCTTCGTTTTGCATTTTACCGAGCGCATTCTAAACTGTTCCCGGAACGATGTTATCGTTCCTACGTCTTCTCGGCTCCGCGCACGATACTCGCTTTCCGATAGCGATCTTTCGTAAAAGCTAAATTAACTCGGCAGAACCGGGCAAGCGTGCGATTAAACTGTAAAAGAAAACCTTCGACTCGAAAAATCGCAAATCGAAATTCGTAGAATCATCGAGAAAAAAGAAGCTTCGTTAATCTTCATGATCATCACACTACTCGCGTCTTCGATTAACTTTTGCACTCGAGAGGTGACTCACGATTCGATATAAGAAAACTATGAAGTTGAATGTTTAATAGTTTAGATGAAACTTCGCGTTGCTGCGTGGAATAGTTCAATGAAACACCTCCGTTGCTTAACCCTTTGCACTCCAGGCACCTCTAAATCACCAAATGATTCGACACAGCAAAACTTTGATATAATGCATGTACGAAATATTGAAAGAAAAATAAATCTAAAAATAGATCTAAGAAAATGTCATCTCTGTCTTATTAGAAAATATTGAATATTTCCGGTGGAAAACTTCTGGAGTGCTAAGGGTTGATCTATCTATGAATTATCGTTAAATTAGTTTCGAACGATATCACCTATATCTCATCAGAAAACGTTGAATGCAAAGTGTTAACACTAAAACTACCAAAGGGGTCAAATGACCGATGCCTGATGTCTCCTTTTCGCAATCATTAGAAAGGTAACAAATGTTTCTGAGAAATTATTAAAGAAATTCATTCAGCACTACGCAAATTGAATTGTAAATCAATTAAAGCCCGAACCGATGCGCTCTTGGAGTTTCTATAGAGAAATATTCAAAAGTCGAAGTGCTCGGTAGTTTCAGTGTTAATCAGCAAATCAGAAACAACCACAGACCCCTGACATTCTCGTAATCTAATTAGATCTCCCAATAATCCGTCGACGCGCAAGACTCGGCCGACCGAAATCCAGACAGACTCTCGATGCAAACAAGCTGCCCGCGAAGCGTGGACACGTCGAAACGTCGGGACGCGCGCGATCCGGCGATCGACACGTTGTTATCAATTTCTACGGCTGCCGACGGGCGCAAGAAAGCGTTTCCGTGCTTCGAGAGATGGCACCGATAAATCGGGCCGTCGGCGAGCAAAAAACGCCGAAGGAAGACGGGAGGGGAGCGGATAGAAACAGGACGAACGGCGAAATAAAAGGAGATAAAGCTGCAAGGAAACGCCGCGGCGGCGAGGGGGGAAAGGAGGCATCGTAGGGAGGGAGGGAGGAGGAAAAGGGGAGGAGCGGTCGCGATTTCGCCGAGCCCGCGAAGCATCCCGTGCGCGCATTTTAATTGTTTTCTGCCGCGGAGAACGCGCGCGGATAGAAAGTCCGTTGCTTCGCTTTGAAGCCCCGGCTTCGATGCCGGAGAGTTGCCCTCGAGGAGTCCGCCTTGATTTAAATGCGTACGAGGACTTTGGTGGCGCTGCGCCCGTGCACTTGTATGCGTGCTACTAGAATAGCAATGGTGAGTTATTTTCAGGTGACACTTCGGAGAGGATCCGTGCGAGTAGTGTCACTCATAGCGGCTCGCCGCGAGAGGCTCGGGGCTTTTTACATCCGTTCTAAACACCGACGGCGCGTTTCTTCGCGCTGTTCGGCTCCACTATGCATTCGCTGCGTGACGCGGAATCGCGCGGTTCGAATTTTAACGCGTTGAACGCCGGGTAAATTTCGTAGAGCGAGATACAGAAAATGAAGGGAATGTAATGTTAACCTCTTGTCCTATGACGAGTGACTCGTCGTGAAGATTTTCAACATAATCCAACGGATATATATATATATCTCGAATTATGTCTCAAACGTTAAATTAGTATAGAAATCTTCATCGCGAGTCTCACTGGTTGTCGTAGGACAAGGGGTTAATATTATATTTTCATTTTCTGTATTTCGCTATAGATATATATATATTGCTCAGTTCATACGAGTTAAACATTATTCCTCTAATCAATTGTTACACTTAAAAGGAAATATAGGCATGACATATGCTTGGAATTTTTCGCTTTTTCTAATAAATTATTCATCAGAAAGCAGCCGTATCGATCAGAGTTGAGAAAGATATCATAGGGCAAGGGGTTAACCCTCTATAAGCCGAATTTTTCTTTATGATTATAACAAAATCTACGCGGTACAACATTAATAAATATGAATGCGAATAAACAATGTATTCTATACGAATGTATTTCGTAACTTTCGAGTTACAATGACAAACTTTCACGCCTGAGCGTATAAAAGTTGGAGTTAAGCGGTTGCCCCATTTTATTCACCGGTTCGAGTGCAAAATGAAATAAATCAACAAGATGCCAATGTTACTCGGACCCGCAGAGTGTTAACACGTTGAATGCTGATTAAAGTTCAGGTAGTAAAATCGCGAGCGTCGGTGATTATATCGATACATTTTTAACACTAGAACTACCGTACCAGTCGGCATATTTATAGGAAAAAGGAGCATCCACCGAGCGGCCAATCAGTGCGACTTGGACACGCATACCGATCGGCCGGCCGTGGTAGAGGCTCCTTTTGTTTCCCACGCGACAGCGACGGTGTGTCCTACTGTCATTTTTGGGCGCGTAACACCGAGCGAAAGGATTTC